CATCAATAGGGAATTAAACTCTGGGCGGGAACAAAGGGCAACATCACTAGGCTGTATGTTTTAAGAGTCTCTTGAGAGCTCTGACCAACAACTCAAATACAGCTTCTCATATCTGGCACAGCTGCCTTAGTTAGGAGACCTTTGGTTCTTAGGGGAGCACTGCCTTTGCATATGATAAAATCTCACTAACACTGTACATACTGACTAACACGTATATTTGTGTGTGTGTGTGTGTGTGTGTGTTTAGGTAAAGAGTTAATAGTATGATTCTTTGTGGATTTTTGGAACATTGTTATGGTTGATTAACCAACCTCCCTCCTTCTCCTCTTCTCCCCTTCTCTAAGAGCCCCATGTTTCACATTTCTACTACCAGATATCTAGTATTCTATTTTCCTTTGCCCTCCTCTCTGTATTTATCTCCCTCTTCCCCTCTAATCACCAATCCTTTCTGTTTCTCCTTTATGGTCACTCTTACCCTGACATTACCCTCTCTCTGGCTCTCCAACCACCTTCTTGTGAAGGAGACAACCACCCGATCCTGGTAATTAGCTCTATTTTATTTAACAGAACATGTACTCACATGTGTAAGTTTGGACCTAGGAGCCTCCAATAAGAGAAAACATGTAATATATTTTTTCTGTGTCTGAGTTACCACACTCAGTAGGATCTTTTCTAGTTCCATCCATTTACCTGAAAAGTATGTGATGTCAGTTTTCTTTATAGCTGAGTACTATTCCATAGAGCACGTGGATCCCAATTTCGTATCCATTTGTCAGTTGTAAGACCCTTGGTTGTTGTCATTTTCTAGCTCCATGAATAGGGCAGCAATGAGCATGCCTGAGAAAACATCTGCAGAGTGGATGGTTGAGTTCTTTGGGCACATGCCATGGACATCTGGTAGATATTTTTTTTTTTATTTTTTGAGGATTCTCCTCAGTAATTTCCAAGTGACCAAACCCATTTAGAATCCCAACAGCAGTGGATGTGTATTTAGTTCTTGGCACTACCATCTTTGTTCTCTATCTTAGTTGGGCCCATTAAGCACTACGTACAGCATTTGACCACTTTTCAAAAGTCCCAAAGTCTTCCACATCAAAAAAGTAAAACAACAACCAACCAACCAACCAGTCCAAACCAAAATTATTACCAGCTTAGGTCTCTCAGCAGCTATTAATACCCCACTCTCTGGTACCAATTTCAGTATTGGTTATTTTTCTATTGCTGTGATAAGACCAAGGTAACTCATAGAAGAAAGAATTGGTGGCAGCTGAGGTGACTGAGGAAAGCCTTAGTGGCTAGGCCTGGGCCTGCTCCCTCAGCATTTCAGGGCCTGAATGAGCTGCATGGGCCTAAAGGTGATGGTGGGAGCCGAGGCATGGAAGAGCAGAGAGAGGTGGCTCCAAATCACTGAATAGAAACTCTTAGGAGTTGGAGCTTTTGGAAAAGCCAAGCCTGCCCTGGTGATACAGCTAATTTAGAAACAATTCATAGAGAGCAGGCCTGAGGCAGCAAACTCCACAAGAGCAGGACTGAGCCAGCAACCTGGGCTGGAGTAGAACTGAGACAGTAAACTCCACAAGAGCAGGTATAGGGGAGCAACCACTGAATGAGTGGACCGGGGTCAGAGACCTCTGCAAGTCTGGGCATGAATCTGGGACCTTCAAGGGAGTATACCAGAGCCAGGACCCCTGCTGATCCAAACGTGAGACTGGGACCTCCAAGGAACTAGGCCTGAGCCAGAACTTCTTTGGGTCTGGCCATAAGTCTAGGACCTCCAAGAGAGGAGGCAGAAACCAGAGACCTCTGCAGGCCCAGGCATAAGTCTGGGACCTCTGAGGGAGTGGACCAGATCTGCGGATCTAGGCATTGGTCTGGGACCTCCAATGTAGTAGGCCTGAGCCAGGTCCTCTGTAGGTTTTGATGCACATGGTTCTGGACCTCTATGGGAATAGATCAGAGCCAGAGACCTTTGCAGGACCAACCCCAAGCCAGGGACTTCTGCGGGAGCCGATCCAGACCAAGGACACTTACAGAAACAGGTCTGAGCCAACAACCTAGGCCAGAGCAGTCCTAAGTGAGTAAACCCCACAGGGGCAGAACTGAGACATTGACCTGTACTGGAGTGAACCTGGAAAGGCTGAACTCCACAGGAGCAGGACTGAGCCAGAGACCTAGCCAAGAGCAGGCCTGGGACAGCAAAGAACTCCACAAGAACAAACTCCACGGGCGTGGTGCAAACCCCAGAAGCGCTTAGCAACCTCCAGGAACACAGAGTGACCAATGAGTAACTGGAACCATAGCACTGACTGCACCATAAGGAACAACCATCTGAGCCTTGGTCCACTGGCACCTGGAAGATTAATCACCAGAGTCACAGACAGCCCCAACTACACCAATTAGAGGAAAAAATGAGTAGACAAGGTAAGAACACAGGCAACACAACAAAAACAACATGACACCAGTAAAATCTGGTGACCCTACAACAAGTCTTGAACAACTAAGTATCAATGAAGCAGAAGAAAATGACCTAAAAAAATTAACTTCAGGAGAATGTTTCAGATGGTTAAAGAGGAAATGAGACATTCCCTCAAAGAAATGGAGGAAAAGACAAACAAAAAAATGGAAGGCATCAACAAATCCCTTAAAGAAAACCAAGAAAAACATCTGAAAGAAGCTATTCAAAAAATGAAAATTGAAATAGAGATAATAAAACAAAAAAGACAGAACTTATGGAAGCAGAAGTCATGAGGAAACAATCCAGAACCGCAAATGCAAGCATAAACAGCAGAATACAAGAAATGAAAGACTCTCAAATACTGAAGATACAATAGAGGAAATAGACTCGTCAGTCAAAGAAAACATTAAATCTAACAAAAGCTTAACCAAAAACATCCGGGAAATGTGGGACACCATGAAAAAACCAAACCTAAGAACAATAGGTATAGAAGGAGAAGTTCAACTCAAAAAGCACATAAAATATATTCAACAAAATCATACCAGAAAACTTTTCCAACCTAAAGAAAGGCATGCCTATAAAGATACAAGAAATTTACAGAAAACCAAATAGACTAGTCCAAAAATCCTTCACCACATAACAGTCAAAACACAAAACACACAGAATGAAGAAAGAATATTAAGAGCTACATGCCTATAAAGATACAAGAAATTTACCGAAAACGAAATAGACTGGACAAAAATCCTTCACCACATTACAGTCAAAACACAAAACATACAGAATGAAGAAAGAATATTAAGAGCTATGAAGGAAAAGGGGGAAGTAACATATAAAGGCAAACCCATCAGAATAATACAAAATAATACCTAACTCTGAAAACCAGAAGGTCCTGGATAGATATTATGCAGACACTAAGAGACCACGGATGCCAGTAATACCTGGTGAAACTTTCAATCACCATAGATAGAGAAAAGATATTCCATAACATAACCAGGTTTAAACAATATAT